TTTTAGATTGCTTTAAAGTTCACTCTTGAATTTTACCTAGGTTAAAAGAGTTTCATGAGCTTTATATTTGATGGAAGCAGGGAGCAAATATTAATCTTACTATTTTATTTTGAAGTCTTCCCAAAGCAGGCACTCTAGACCACATTTCTACAGAATAACATGTGTATGTAGTCCAAACAAGTTGATCATCGTTACACTGAAAGGCAATACATAAGATTTCAAATACACCTTCAGTACTTTATATCTCGTTTCAGTTTTCCTTGTACTAATCACTCTACTCTTTCAAAGCTATCATTATTTTGGACAGTTTAATTATATGTCTTGTATTGATGCAATTAAATGTAAAAACTGTTCCTTTGTAAAGATTACAGGTTGTTGTATATGCCAAACTTATTTTGATATTCTAAAATGTTTATTGTGCTTCCTCGTAATATGTGTTACACAATTGCCTCTACACAAAGATATTTCGCCGTGTCACAGAAAATTAGAATTGGAACAGATAATACTGTAAAATACAATAACCTCACAAACTGCTAAGAGACAGAATAGCCCAGCCCTTTGGCTCTGTGGTGGAGCACTATTCCAGGCACCAGGAGTTTTCAGAATTCCTGGTCAGGGCACATCCCCAGGTTGAGGGCTTGATCCCCAGTAGAGGGCTTCCAGGAGGCAGCTGATCCCATGTTTCTCTCTCATCAATGTTTTTATCTCTCCCTCTCTCTTCCTCCCTCCGAAATCAATAAAAATAGCTTTTAAAAATGACATAATAAATTACCTAAGAATACATTTCATATAGTAACATTCAGTTGAGAATTGGTTACCTAAAATAAAAGCTTACTCACTTTTTTAAGTAGTATGTAAAGAACTTCTACTGATGTTACTTACTCTTGCACGCAATCATGCTAGATATGCATATCATTATTCCTGTCTTAAATTTTTTTTAATGATTGAATAATATTTGATATAAGGACAATGTCTGTGGGGATATAATTCTTAAAGTGTGATTTGTGAATTGCTTGCATTAGAGTCACTGTTAAAATGCGTATTTCTGGCCACAACTCCAATGTGTTAAATGAAAATTTATGTATATGAGATTCCAGAATTTGAATTTTAACAATATTTTCCATTTTGTTAATTGGTCTAATCTAGAAAATAAATAAAATACCATAAAATATAATTGAGAATATTTTATACATATAACTACAGTGGAGTGGAAGAATATAGCTAAGAATATAATGTAACAGTAAACAACTTTAAAAAAAAGTCAAATGGCCTAGGAGAAAAGTGAAAAAGAATGTTAAATCAGATAGCTATTGACTTCAAGAAACTTCTAGGAGAAATATTTTCATTTGATGATTAAAAGAAAGAATAAACAATTGTTTAGGTAATTAGAATAAAAATCTAATTATTTATCTCTATTTCCCTGATCCAACAATACTTAGTTAAAACTCATGAAAGTGCTTAAAAAGTTAAATAACTCAGAGTGGTTTGGTGACCAACACATAAAAAGAAGTGATTTTTCGTTGTCTCAAGGTGAAAAACAACTGTAGAAAAAGTTTAAAATAAACAATACACAGGTGTTAATGATGGTGAGAAAAAAAAAAGTGGTTTCTTACAAGAGCCATGCAGGACTAACTTGAAGATCAGTCCTAGGATGAATAGCAGGGAGCAGCACAGGTTAAAGATGACCAAGGCATGGACTACGGATTTTGCTTGAGGAATAAGGAAAAAGAGACAGATGTCCAAGGTATTATAGTCGGCATGATTATGCAAATAATTCAGTGGGGGTTTGACACATTTTGATGATCTGCACACATTCCAATTCTTAAATGCTTTGCCATTAATGTCTTTGGTCATTGCAGTCTACTCAGAGTGTGAAAACATACGCATTTTTGTAAAAATGATAAAAATACTTGGTCTTAAATCAACCAAGTATTTGTGGAGCAACAAATGTCTTAACTAGGAATTTTGTAAAGCAGGCAACAGAAATAATGGTATCTATTTGATTTAATATCTCAAAGGATTTTTTTTTAATACTGGAACAAAGTAGAATAGTGTAATGTATCTTATTTTACCTTTGGCCATAAAGCCTATATAATCCTATATAATAAAAGGTTAATATGGAAATCGACAGAACGGCAGAATGACCATTCGCTGTGACGTGTACTGACCACCAGGGGACAGGTGCTCAATGCAGGAGCTGCCCCCTGGTGGTTGGCGCACTCCCACAGGGGGAGCACTGCTCAACCAGAAAATGGGCCCACGGCTGGTGAATGCAGCAGTAGTGGCAGGAGCCTGTCCCTTCATAGCAGTCGGACATCCCCTGAAGGCTCCCGGACTGCGAGAAGGTGCAGGCCAGGCTGAGGGACCCCCCCGCCCCCCACCTAGTGCATGAAATTCATGCACCAGGCCTTGGTTATTTAATAAGGAGTATGGAGAACCTTACAAGGTGATCAACAGCTGATTAAAATGTATAACTGTTAATTATTTCTTCAGCACAATCTTTGAGAGTTATTTCCAGTATGAATAAATAAAACATTTCCTGCAGTTTAGGGAATTTAAATGTGCCTCCATTTGAAAGATAGGAGCATTATGAATACTAACAGGTTCTTGCTTTTATCACTTATGAATACAGTTCTGGGTCTAAGTTATGGGTAAAATAAGAAATCAATCAACATTATCAAAAAATAAGAAATCAATCAACATTGACAAAATCCCAAAATTTGAAATAAGAATCATACTATCTTTACCTTTTTGTTTAAAAATATCTCTCTGCTCTTTTGAAGTTCCGGTGGCATATACTTTATAACTTGCAAAAGTACTTAAAATGCATGATGTTTATATCAGAACAGAACCTGGTCAATTAGCATCTAATCTTCCAATTTCTGAGCATTTTCATTTTCTGACTTTCAAGCATCTTAGAGTAATGATGAGCCCCAGGAGTTCTTTTTCTCTAGTAACATATTAGGTCATTCCTCTGATTTAACATGAACCCTGCTTTCGGGTTTTTTTTTTAATTAAAGAAGGTAGTATAAAGAGCAAATTTTGATATTTTAATCAGTAATCTATAATAATAAAAGCATAATATACTAATTAGACCGGACGATCTTCCTGATGAAGCTGGGGCTGTGAGGGCCGAGGCGGTCATGTGGTGGGCGTGGGCCAAGGCAGATGAGGCAGCTAACGCCGTGGCAGGGGCCGAGCCCCTTACACAAATTTCGTACATCAGGCCTCTAGTTCAATATAATTGCACAAAAATAGCCTTCTTTTAATCAGAGCTTTAAAACTTTCTCAGTGGTCCGTTAGGAAGATTTGACAAATATAAAGAAAAAAGAATTTTTCAATGATCAGAATTCACTCCAACAGCATATTTGCAAAGTCTTACTAAACATCTTATTGTAAATTATCTGTGGACTGTGTCAAGAATTTAAAACTGTGAAGAACTGGAACAAATTTCTCAATCATTCATCTGTAAAACCACAACTGAGAAAGAAAAGTGGCTTTTTAAAATATTATGTTTTTATTGTGTCCACTTTATTATAATTCCTTGAAAAATGTGCTCGTTCCATTCCCTCACTTTAGTAATATGGATAACGTCATAAGCGTGGCCTTAAGATTTATTTACCTACTTTAATGATTGACTTATAGTATGGTATATAAAAAATGTGATGTGTAGGAAAAAATATATGTGTATAAGCTTTTTATAAAAATATTGAACAAAAAAGTTAGGATAATGTATATGATAGCCTAACCATAATATAGTGATATTAACTTCCATTTAAATCATGCTCCATATTCATAGTTTGACAATATAATTATTCATCAAATAACTATGTTTAATAGTATTACTATTGTTAATTACGCTAAAGTTAATATATGCATTTCTGAAACAAATTTTAATTTCTATGATTTGAGTTTATTGGCAATAATGATTTTATGAAATATTGTCCTTGTATTCGAGTAGCCAGTATTGTCTTCTTGAATATCCCAAACAATGAACATGACATCACCAAAGCCTTGTTCTTAAAATAGCTTCAGCTATCTAAATTGGCTATGACAGAACTGGCAGAGACCCTGACATTGCAGTTATTTAGATTGGCCATTATGACCAGAAAGATATTCTTGGAATGGTTCTAGAAGATGTTCTTTTACTGTGTGCAACAATTGTTGATACGGTGTTTTTTTACTGTCATTTTTTAAATAAGAACTGAAGCCCATTACATGGTTGCTCTGTGAATTTCCGCTGACAAATATAGGGAGGCATCTTGTGCATCTCAGCCAACAAGCATTGTTCAAAATAACTGAAACCACTCTAGAATTTATTTGAGGTAACCAGCTAATTATATGGTCATGATTTTTGTTTAAATAATGGATTTTAATCCTATCTATTATTTTAATTCTCTGCTAGACTTCTCATCATAGTGTCAGGATGCCTATGTAAGGAAGACAATAAAAACATGGGCACATTCTTTATATTGTAATAGAAGTATGATAGTCATAGAAGTATGATTTTTAAATGAGAAAACACTCTATTTTCCTATATCTGCTTAAGTGATAGCTAGTTCCACTTTGGACTCAGAACAACCAGAAAAATAAACAAACACTTTTTCAATCACAGAAATTTATTAAAGGAGGATTTATTTGACAGGCAGGCTCAATTTTTATATTGGCTACTTATAATTTTCAGTATTTCTCAAATTAATTTCCAAATTTTAATTAAGATTTCCATTTTGCTATAACATATGACCATTTTTAGGTTAGCATAAAATAAAGAAAAATGGCTATAAAACTAAACTTTATAAAGTATTTAAGCTGGTGAAGTCCAACTGAAGTTACCTTCAGCATACTGACAATATACAGGAAATTAGCAGATATCTCTCCCTAATATCCATTAATCTGTGATGGCTGGCTCCTCCATTCCATTTGGTTGAAGTTACTAAATTAGTAGACTTGTAGGTTGTTATTCACTAATTTTTTTATTTTTTATTTTTTAATATTTCTAGATGCTCCACCAACTGGTCAGGCACACAATGTGAGAGGCAAGCCCCAAAGAGCAGCAAGTCTGATCATATCAGCACAAGTAAGTGCCTCAGATTCATATCTTGAGTGGTTTAGTATATAAATCATTTCTGATGCCGTTGTAAGGGGAGTTGAGTCTTTTATGAAGGTTTGCAAAAGATCCGTTGCTATCCTGGTTCTTTTTTGTAGATGAAGCTCTGAGTTCTCACCTGATGACAGGATCCAGCATTTATGTGCCCTTTATCTCTCTCTCTCTCTCTTTCTCTCTCTAAAATATGTATTGTTGAAAGTATTGCAGATCTCCTCTTTTCCCCCCATTAACCTTTCCTAGCCTACACCTGAACCCAAGCCTTCACCATACTCTTGTCTGTGTCTAGGGGTTATGCATATATTCTATCTAATAAAAGAGAAACATGGTAATTAGCCGTACATCCGCTACCCTTCCCATTGGCTAATCAGGGCTATATGCAAATTACCTGCCAGCCAAGATGGTGGCCGGCAGCCAGGCTACTGACACGAACAGGAGGCTTGCTTGCTCCAGTGATGGAGGACTCCAACGTTCCCCGCCTGCCGCTGCTGGGCTCTGAGCTTCT